TCTGTGATCTGTGGAGAAACATTGGATTAAGTTCCTTAACAAGGAAGGATATTATTAAAAAAAAAAAAAAAACGTGTCTAAAAAAAAAAATTTTTTTTTTTTTTGTAAGATTTCTTCCTTTATGGAAAAAGAACTGAAATATTTGAAACTTAATATTTTCCTATTTATATCTCTTAAACTGTACTATCTGTTGATATCAATGTGAGAAATATTTTTATTATATTTGCTGGAAGCATTTAATGGCCTCGGTGTTTAGACAACTAAATTTAAACTAATTTATTTCAATATAAGCAGTTTTGTTTCTTTTAATCTTTTTTTTTTTTTTAATTGGATTTAAACTTTGTAATCTTGGTTTGGCAAATCATTTAAAAATATAATACAGGAAGGAAATTCTAAGATAAGTTACAGAGTACAATTCTTAACTTTTATAATAATCCTGTGTTTCATGGGTGGGGGTATTTACTACATATTCAATCTGGTTTGAATCCATAATGCTGCAAACAGTTTGAATCTCAGTAAAAACACCAAGTTAATCCTACATAATGCATTACAGGAAGAAGTCTAGAATAGAATTCATAAGACAAACAACTTGTCTTAGAGACGATAGGCAACTGTACAGATTGTTGTTATAGTGATGAGGAATCTTTGTCTTGTATAAAATGACAGAACAGAACTTGACTCATGAAATTATACACTACTAATGTACTTTTATAGTGATGTGAGTTGAAACCGTAGAGCTAGTGTTTTTTTTTTTTTTTTTTTTTTGTTTTTTTAGGCATATAAAAAGAAACCATTTTTGTTTCAGGTTTGTGAAAGATTTTATCATGAACAAGACTTACTTTTATCATCTTTGCTGTTTTAATGTTAACATGTTTTTCTCTTTTTAACTTGATCAGAAATAAATTACATTTGTCACATGTAGGTAACAATGTGCCAAAAATTTTAAAAAATGGCTGTCACATGTAAGTATCATTGAGTCAACAATTTAAAAAAAAAAAAAATTATTCTTGTCACATGTGTCAATGTGCCAAACATTTACAAAATAATAAAAATATTGATATTACACTTTCAAAAAAAATTATATGGTAGAGTGAGGGATGATTTTAAAAAGAAACTGGACATTGCATAATGTTGAGTTATCCTAAAGAAATCTCATACATAACTTAGTTTTGATATATGGCTATGAACAGGGGTTACCTAGTGAGGATTTAACACTTTATAATAGCAGCGATCTACTAAATAAACTTGTTAATCATCATTGGATATTGTGACACCTGAGAGACTTCAATTATAAGGATTTATTCTTTGATTACTTCAGAGGTCACAATACAGCTACTTCTGACTTAATGTTCCAACAACCTGGTCACTAAGTGAAGTTGTACTTGACTGCTATTTCAGATGTTCTATACATGTAATAGGTTTGTGTAGTAACACTTCTAATTTATTTGTAAATGTTTAAACAGTAGTATACTAAGTAGATTTCTGGTATGAGAAGTTATACTTATTTACACAAAATGTGTCCTATTGTCCTCATCTCTGTTCTTGTTATCACAGTATTTTAGCCATTGTGTTCTCTGGTGTATGTTGATCTGGATAACTTTCTGGGAAGTTTGTTGGTTTGGTTTGGTTTTTGTTTTACGGCATATCAACCTCAATGGGTTATTTAATGCTGACAACATTTTTATTGCTGGTAATGTTGTTCTTCAAAAATCTGTTTCTGGCAATATTCCTCCTTGAAGAAATCTATAGCTAGTCATATTTTTTTCAAAGAATGTATAACTGTTTGTATTGGTGGTAATTTTTTTTTTTTAAAAGTATTGCTGGCAATAATTTTTTATTACAAAGTATTTCTGGTATTAAAACCGATTTTTACACAAGTTTGGGTGTTAACTATTTTCCCATAGCTGGGACCCTAACTGGTGCTACCACCCCAGGTCAGGGTGGACCTGGCAACACCAGCAATTAAGAGGTGGTTCCACGCTCCTCGAAACCTCCTGATCAGAGGCCTTGCTGTTGGACATAGTTTATCGTCATACTCAGGACACGGGAAGGTTGTTAGTACAAGTGAGATGTAGCTGTATTGTGACCTTTTTGAAGTAATTTAAGAATTAATCATTGCTTTTTAAAACAATAAACATTGCCAAAGAGTGAAGGTAGTTAAAATAAGTGTCATGGGAAAAACTGTCCTTTTCACACAGTATTTTTTTTTTTTTTTTTTTTTTGGTGGGCACGAAGGTCTTTATTTGCTTGCAAGATTTACTTGCTTGAGGAACTGTGGAATTGTTATGAAGAAAGTAAAGCATTTAGCGTTTATAGAATTAAGTAATCGGTTCAGGAGTGGATAAAGGGTCAAAGAAATGGTATTCTTTGTGGTGTAATCATCATTTGATATTTGTACATCAGTTGAAGATTGCTTTTTATGCTTGCATGCTATTTTCACACCTGTTACTTCTTAGTTACACCTGAATATTTATATATCTGTTAATGATTGCTTCACCATGTCTGTATGCTTGTATTTATCTTTCCGCTGTATTTATTTATTTATTGTTTGACCAAATAATTGAGTTGATTCTCAACATGTGTTCTTGCTTTATGGCATCCAATTAACATTTGATGACAGCATATTTATTAACCTGTTGCACCTGTTATAAAATCACCAAGTATATTCGTCATTGCATTCTAGGTCTTTCTTTTTCTGGCATGATTGCCATTAGAATTATTGACTCTCGATGTATAATGTTACTTATCTATTTTCACACTTATAAATGTATGAGTTTTATTCTCACAGGGTGCCAAATCTAAGCCAAGTTTAGTAAATAATAAAATTAAGCTGAGTATTTACTTAATAGTGAATGAATAAAATTTAAGTGACATCCTTAATTTTTGTTCTCTTGGTTTTTAGTTTAATGGTTGTTTGTTTTTCTTTTTATTATTTTCTTTTTTCTTTGGTCCTCTGGCAGGCTTTGTGACTGTTTTACCAATGCCTTGAATTTTTGTAGGGAGAGATAAATGTATAAGAAATTATATATCTATTCCTCACTGCTTGTGACTACTTACTTTCTGTATAGTTATAGCAATCATCAGGCACAAATTTTGTGCTTGATGATTGCTATATGCATGAAACTTAAAATAGGATTGAGCAGTGAAGAACAGATATAATTCTTTTAATATAAATTTTAGTTCTGTTCTTTTACATTGAGCACTTTTATTGCTACCAGCAGTCACCTTGGGATATATATATATATATATAATTTTTTGTTTATATGTTATTTAATAGACATAATTTATTTAAGTAAATGCTGTTTTTTTAAATAAATAGTATTAATTACATTTACCAGCCTGAATGTTAGAAATTTTGTAGAAAATATTCGTTCTCTGACAGGGATCAAATCTGTCTCCTATATGGAACCATCAGTTGATCTGATGTGCTATACCACTCAGCTACAAAGAAACGACTGGTTAGCAAAGTCCAAATTACTGTTTCTAAATAACAAATCTTTGACGATCTTTCCCTGAATAATCATATCTGCTCATGAAACTTACCTTAACATAAACATTGACAACATTATTTCGGATTAAGTTCGACAATTATTTCATATTTTCTGTTTATATGTTATTTAATAGATAAGAATAAATTACAGAATTCTTCATCTAGACAACTTTGCCTAGCTTAGAGCTAAGGCTAGCTTACCATCAAAGTGTACATCTCTTAATCAACATCAAAACAAAGAAACACTTTACTGCATGAAATGTTTATAGCTTAGGTTGAGTTGTTTAGATTTTGTAACTTTCTATTCTTATCTATTAAATAACATATAAACAGAAAATATATTAAATAATTGTCTGACTTAATCCAAAATAATGTTGTCAATGTTTATGTTAAGGTATGTTAAAGATTTATTTTAAAACAGTAATTTGGACTTTGCTAACCAGATACTTTTCTGTAGTTGAGTGGTATGGCACGTCAGATCAATTGACGATTCCATATAGGACACAGGTTTGATTCCTGTTGGAGAATGCATATTTTCTATGGAATTTCTCAAACATTCAGGCGAGTAAATGTAATTAATACTGTTTACTTAATAAAACAGCATTTACTTAAATAAATTGTGTCTATTAAATAATGTATTCTCTCTCTCTCTCTCTCTCTCACTATATATATATATATATATATATATATATATATATATATGAATGTGTTTGTTATAGAACCCAAGCAAAACTGAAGAAATGAGACTAACACCATCTCGAGTTAACCTCAGACTTCCTTTCTTTTGAATAGGGTTATAAACAAACATATACTGTTTTTTCTTTTTTTTTTTTTTTGTTTAAACAAAAAGAAAATGTTTTTTATATTTTGCTTCATTTTCAAATATATAGCAATTCCCCACTCACAAAAAATGTAGCTTAGATGTGACACAGGGCCAAAAGTAGTGAGGATTGGACTCACTACTCAGTTGTAATTGTTCTAGTGAGACAAGCTTGCTAACCATTACACCACCTTGAGATACCCAAAATATTTTTCTAAGTGTAGCTTAGATGTGGCACAAGGCTAAACATATAGGGTACCCAGTGAAGATCAAACTCTCTATTCAGTCCTAACTGTTTTAGCAAGACAAGCTTGCTAACCATTACACCACCTTGAGATACCCAAAATATTTTTCTAAGTGTAGCTTAGATGTGGCACAAGGCTAAACATATAGGGTACCCAGTGAAGATCAAACTCGCTATTCAGTCCTAACTGTTTTAGCAAGACAAGCTTGCTAACCATTACACCACCTTGAGATACCCAAAATATTTTTCTAAGTGTAGCTTAGATGTGGCACAAGGCTAAACATATAGGGTACCCAGTGAAGATCAAACTCGCTATTCAGTCCTAACTGTTTTAGCAAGACAAGCTTGCTAACCATTACACCATACTGAGGTGCCCTGATTTACAAGTGTGTGTGTGTGTGTATAAATTTTCTTTTTTCACTTACTGACTTTTGCATTTGTTGCAGGCCATTTCTTTCCCTCAGAATGAAGAATACCAGGAAAAAGCTTGGTCAGCTGTCTATCCAATGGTACTGAAACTCAAAGAATTCTATGAATTTTCTATCAGTTTAGGTAAGTTGCTTTTTATTTGATTTTTTTATTTCTTCTGTTCTTTAAGAAGTGAAAATTCATATAATTTCCAAGTCTTTTATCAATTCTTTTCTTACAGAAGTTCATTCAAATGTAAAACATTTGAATTTGCTATTTATTATCTCCCTATACTCAAGAAAAAAAAATGTGTTATATAGAGAGAGAGAGATACACACATTATGAACTTTCCTGCAACTTTGGTTCTAGAACAGTGCCAGACTCCACTCCCAAGAGCAATAGCGGTTACATCATAACTCCATTTCACTAATTATATGATCTTTTAATGCATTAGGGTTGTTAGAAGCTTAAACAAATATTTCCCATATTAAATTCTTTGGTCAATATCTGAATAGATTTTCCAGAATTTATCACCCCTAACATAAGCTTCATGAAAAGTAAAGAATACTTAATCTTCATGCAATAAAGTGTTTCTTTGTTTTGATGTTGGTTAAGAGAGATACACTTTGATTGTAAGTTAGCCATAGCTCTATGCTAGGCTGAGTTGTCTAGATGAAGAATTTTGTAACCTTCTGGTAGGTTGTGCCTTTTTAATTTTAACTGGATGGAGACCATTAATTACCAAAAGATCCATTGTCTTTATTATAAAAGTATATGTCCAGGTCTTCCAGAGAAGAGAAATCAATATTTCTAATGCTAAACTTAAAACTCAAAATTCTTTATATTAAACATGCAAAGCATTTTTTTTCTTTCAAAGTTAATGCAAAGTTCATGCATTTCAAATCTGCAGTTATTTTTTAACACCAAATTTTTATTGGTTGTTGTAATATGTATAAGGTGCGTTCCAAAAGTTTTAAGACTCTTCATGAGAGCTATTTATTAATTTCAAAGAAGTACAAAAATTAATCTCCTTCAAAGTCAGATCCTCTGACTTCAATTCACTTGTAGTCCATTCGGTGAAGGCCCCATGAAAGTCATTTTAAATTAAAGGTGTCCAGGATACTTGTCACAGCCTTCTTCATATTCTCAATGTATTCAAAATGTATGAGCTGAGCATCTGATTTCCACTCAAAATGACTGCCCCCTCACAGGGAGCAAAGTCTTAACTGTAGCAAGGGTAAAGGACAGTTTTGATCATCATCAATCATCCCAGTGCTGTCATCAGTGTGTATTTCTTTGTTAATGAGCACACCAGGCACAAATTTTGCACATATTCAGATCTCCATGTATAATTCTGTGTACAGTTGCCACACCAAATCTAAACTGTACGCTTATTGTCTTTAGAGACATGATCTTCATCCCCAAAATTGTGAATTTTCTCAACTAGCCCTGATGTTCTGACATCCACATTGTCTCCTTCCCACATCACTCCTCCTCTCCACTATCTTTGAACCTCTTATGTCAGTGGAAATCGGATGCTTGACTCATACAAGTTAATCCATAAGCAGTCTGGAGGATTTTATACGTTTCTGTAGCAATATTGCTTAGTTTAACACAAAACATTATTGCATAGCAAGCTTCCAAATTGTCTTCAAGTCCTGACTGTATTCTGCAAACTTGTCTACTAGGACAACCAGTATTTAATAGTGTGTGTTCAAAGAGCTTTTACAGCCATCTTCAATCTGAATTAACAAAAGTTGGCAAGTCAGCTTATTAGGTATAGCGTAATTATATACTAAAACTTATAATTGCCTCTCTCAGAACTTCTTGAATGCACCTCATACATAGAATATTTAATAGTTTTGTGACATAACTAAGCTTTCTATACTGCAAAATTGCAAGTGTAGGTCACCCAGTAAAGACCAAATTCACTTCTGTAGTAATGATATAAAAAAAACTGGCCTCTCAACCATTACTTTATAGCAAAGATTTATCACATCAGTAGTTCTGTAAACAATTAGGTTCATAAAGGCATATTATGTACTGCAGCCATAACAGTGATGGGATATCTATGACAAGATAACCTGACGAAGCCCATCCCTCTCCAGACCAGCAAAGACCCAAATAAATATTCATTTGAGGCCTTTTTAGATGTATATTCTATTCAGTTTCCTTATCTATAAAACCAAATGAATAGAAGTTAATTTCTATTGGTACATTTTAGTTTTATGTATGGTTTGAAAATAAAAAGAACATTTAATTTTGTATCAGTAATGTTTAGTGTTAGTACTTTTTCTCTGGTTAAAATCAACTCATAGTCTTAGATGAGGGAAATGTAAATTTTTCATGTGTTTTTTTTTAGTGAAAACCTCCACATATGCAAATGTACTATTATCTTTTATTTATTCAGCCTTATTTAGTTCAGCAAGGCAGTAAGCTGTTTACTTGGTATTGTTAAGTGGTCACCCATCTAATTGTGGAAAAGGCAGCTTAACTTTTGGATGATCAGTTGAAAATTAGGGCTTTCAGTTTGAATGGGCCATAAGCAGTCTTTATAAAATTTGTAATCTAAGAAAATAAAATAAAAATAGATTTGAGAGCCTTTAAAATATTACAATTATAAAAAGAATTTGTTTTTCTGTTAATTATTCTTTTGTTGAAAATTTTATCTGTTTGTTTTTATAGAAAAAAAAAATGCATCAGTTTTAATAATTTCAATTTTGCAAATGTTTATTTGAACTACCTTCTCGATTGCCTTCCCCTTTATGCTGAAGATACCAAAGAGTAGTGGGATAAGGAAGGAAGGAAGGAAAAAATGATTTTTGTAATTTTTGTCTGTTATATTTTTTTTTTATTTTTTTTTTATCTCTTTCCATTTTGATGTTTTCCTTTCAACAAGCAAAATGAAAATGTTGCCTTTTTGGTATAAAAGAAAAAAACAAATCTATTTCAATCAAGCTAAAATAATTAAACTCCTACTCTCACATTACCCTTTGCTTTGATGCCTTCTTCCTCATTCCACCCCCAATTTCTAATTAACACTTTTAGTGGTTGCATACATGATTGCCCCCACACACACAACCCCCCTCCCCCAACATTCCTTTCCCTTCCTCACCATAATCTGAAACACAAAAGGAAAAGTAAAAAAGGAACTAAACAAAATCGAGGTGAAAAATTATTCTGATCTCACTTGTTTCCTATCCTGTTACCCACAATTCAGAAAATGCTGCCAACCATGATGAGTTCCAGTTGTTGCTCTTCAAGTGTTTACCACTTCCATCATATTTATTGCCAGAATCTGAAATGACCATTTCTATATTAAGTTTATTGCCATGATACAGTATTATTGTGTTCTGCAATGTTCAGAATTGATACTCTGCCAGTATGTCTGCAGAATATCCCCTCCCCCACAACAACTCTAGTTGGGTGCCTCCTCTCTCTATGCCTTCTTTTCACTTCCATTTGGCCATATATTAAAAAATAGCTTTGGGTTTAATAAATGGAATTTTAATACTGTTTGGCTCCATGTAGCTTGATGGTTTTAGTAAACGAGATGCAGTTCATGAAATCTGTGCTTTAATAATTGGAGAGATGAATGTTGGCAATTATAGAGATTTACCAAGCATAACTTAGATGTGGCACAAGGCTGAAAGTATGGAGCACCTAAAATCTTGGTAATTATAACTAACTTTAAAAAAACAAAAACAAAAAACTAATTTCACAATGAAATATTTCTTTAAGGATTTCACATTTAATTTGCATCAATGGCAAAATACAAAGTGATTGTATATTTGTTTTTTTTACAGCTCATCAACCCTTTACAAATGATTTAAGCCAGAAATAATTTTTAGATTGTAAAATTTTTTTAAGATAATGATTTGGTGATAAGTTATACTAATTAACCCATAGCTGGGGGAGAAAAGGTGGAGTCTTACTTTTCCCGTGAGAATTTGCACATAAGTGAATATAACAAGCCCAATTGAAATTTGGCTCTCTGATTAACAATTCCAAGTCATTATCCATTACACTACCCCCACATTTAAGTTTATAGAATCTGGTATTCCCAAGCAGTCACCTATGGAGGTACTGCTCAACTTTGGTGATTATCTGGGAACCAATGTTTCAATGTGATATGGCCATAAATCTTGATTCTACATATGCTATAGCATCATGTGTGTAATACTATGTATGCTGATTAAATATTAGGATCTGAATTAAGGCTTAAGGCCATATCGTGTTGAAACACCAGTTCTTGTGTGATCACCAAAATTATGCAATGTTAAACCTGGTCAGTACCTAGATGAGTAACTGTTGAGTTATACCAGGTGCTGTAAAGTTGGATGTATGGGTGGTGTAATGGATAAAGGCTTGAAATGAGAAATTGGAGAGCAGTTTTGAATTCCAATCAGCTTTTGTTATATGCACTTGTGTGCAAATACCTTTGGGGAAAGGTATGAATCCACCTCTTCTCCTCCTAGCCCTCGGTTAAATAGTAAGACTTGTATCAGAAAATTATTATACAATCTGGAAATAGGTTTTGGGTTTAAATAACCTCAAAAAGGTTGATAAGCAGTAAAAAAGGATGGAGTAATAGACAGTGGCTCAGATTGAGAAATCAGAGAGCAATTCAAGTTGGATCCATTACATTCACTTACATGCTAATACCCTTGGGAAAGGGTAAGAATCATCTCTGTCCCCCCCCCAAGCTATGGGTAAATACCAGGACAGACCAGGTTCTATATCCTTGGATGGCAACTGGTCTACCACAGAAAGAAATGGCAACCTACTGAGGGGAAAAGATCTGCCTTGTCAGTCATGTATCGAAAGATACCCTTGGGTAAGAGATGAATCCCCTCTCTCTCTCTCTCCCAGCTATGGGTAAATAGCAGCACAGACAGAGTTCTATATCCTTGGATGGCAACTCGTCTACCACAGAAAGAAATGGCCAACTACTGTGGGGGGGAAAAAAAATCTTCCTCGTCAGTCATATATCAAAAGATACATGATCACCTAAGTGTGTATCACACATGGCACATAACTGACTGAAACAGTAAAAAAAAAAAAAAAACAACTCAATCAATCAACATAGGATTTGAATTCTGGGAATGTATTTTTCTTTATAAACAAACTGAAGTTGCTGTCCTCAGTATGTTGGCCCTTTCTGTTAGTCATTCCAAATATCAGCACATCCATTTGTCTATGTGGTCAGTCCATTATGTCCAGTGATAGGATTTTTGCTGTTTGAATCTCTCTTGCTCTACAATACATCCAAAAAATAATGTTATGGGCAAATGATAGAGCAGATAGTATTCTGAGAGTAAAATTTTCTCAGTTCCTTTATAAATAAATTTCACTTAATCAGGCTAATTAGCTAGTGTAAAATCTTGACAAGATAAACTTCTGTTGATAAGGATATTGCTCACAGGATTATTTCTAGAATTTTATTCATTGAGTTTGGAACAGATCATAAGATATAAGGATATGTCCTAACAGCTTGGATAAATATATACTATTATTCTGCTTCTTTGTATTTACAACCATTCTGTTTTTCTATCTAGAATTATTGTAGTATCTGCTCGGTTTTAACTGTTGATCAAATAGAACTTGGTAGCTCAGTCCTCAATTTATGTAGGTTTGGTTGAAAACTAATGTAATGGTAATATTAGCTGTTTCCTTATAAGGAAATATTTGGCATTCATTGACCAAGCAGCTTGTACTATTGTTGGTTAAAATTTATAAAATCTGTCTCTTAAAAAAATTTTTCAGGAAAATAGCTTTCTCAAGTCCAGTAGCTGTTATAGCTTTTTCCAGTATTGATGGGGGTTTCCTTCTTAACCTTTTTTTTTTCTTCTTTTATTTGAAGTAATATGAAATAAATATTCTTTCTTTATTTTTATGGTTTGGACCATTTTTTGGTTTCCAGGGAGAATTTGAACATAAATTATTCAATGTCATCTGAGCATTTTCTGCTTTCATAAGGTATTATCAAAGTGTCTTACTTTTATGTTGATAAAGTTGCTTATGTGTATGCATTGCTTTCCTTGCTAATTTTTTTTAGTGTAACATAGGTTGAGTTTTTTTTTGTTTTTTTTATTAATTTTTTTTTCATGTGTGTATGAGTTCCTCCTTTTTTTTTTTTTTTTTTTTTTTTTTAATGATTTTGTCAAGTTAGTTTTGAATTTAGTTGTATCCATTTTTGTTTTTAATTTGTTCTTGGACAATCAAAATTTATGTTCAGATTCTCTCTGGAAATCAAAAAATAGTCTGAACCATATAAAAGTTAAATCAAACTTGCATCCAAGTATATGAAAGACAGCATCTTTCCAATTGCTAAATTTTGGATGCTTTTCATTAATTGCTACCTTTTTAATCAATACATTTGGGAATAGTCAGTTAACTGCCATACAGGATACACACTTGGGGAATCATGTTTATTTTGATCAGAAGATTTCCCTGCTGTAGGCTGCTGTTTCTTTCTGTGGTAGACTGGTTGCTAACCAAAGCTTTAGGACCCAGTCTGTCTTGCTATTAACCCATAGGTAGGGGTGAAGAGATGGATTCATACCCTTTCCCAATGGTATTTGCAAGTGAATGTAATAAATCCAATTGGATTTCAAATTCAGATTCATTACATTCACTTACATGCAAATAACCTTTGGAATGGTACTTATTTTACAGAAGGAACTTTTAATACACAATACCTTTCTGATCCCATCAGATATATGGCATCTTTTTCTTTGGCTGCAGATCAGTTTTTGAGGGGCTATCAATGGCTTGTTTCATTTTAACTAGGACCTTTTTCATTCCACATTGTTTTAAACTATTCATTTATCATTGCCTATAATTGCTTTTTTCAAAAATGAGTTGCATTTGAGCAGAGAATCAAAGATGGAAACATGATCCATTAAATTTTTTCCATTAAATTGCTAGGCACCAAACACCATAGCAATTCACATATTCAAGTGTTTTCAAGTACTTTAAAATGCTTGTGTGATATTTTAACCATCTCTGAAATGTATTGTATGACCTGTATTATTTTTAATCAGCATTTCAATTTGATCATCAATGACTGTAGTCCTGCTGGAATGTTCGCAGTATTCCATGTTTGTACAGCTTGTTTTCCTTTTCATAAATAAGAGCTTCAAATGACAAAAATACATCTCATTTTTCTCTATTTCTGTTTTTATGTAAAAAACTTTCAAAATTCACAATCTATACATGAATCATATAAAGAAATGAATTTTCTCTTTTCATACTCTGTCTGTGTATATATATATATATATATATATATATATATATATATATATATATATATATAGTTTCAAACGAAATAAAATCATGTGTTCAGATGACAGCTAGTGAAAAATGTCACAAGCATTTGATCCAACGAGATATATATATATATATAATGTGTGTGTGTTATGACAACTTCTTTTTTCTACTAAGCTTTGCTTAGACTGACATATAAGCCTGAGATTGCATTCAATGATGTTCCTATGTATCTATCTAATCAATGTTTTTGGATAGACTTAATGCTGCTTAACTTTATTATCTATAAGGTATAAGTACTTTTTCCATGTCTTGGCAGTAAGCCAAAGAATTAGTGTAGAATATATTTTCAGGAAAAATTTTCAAATAGCAAAAGTTTGAAAGAATAAAAAATAAATCTCCTGTTCTTTTATCTGGAGTTCTTTATTAATTACCCCCACCTTTTTTTTTTTTTTTTTTTTCCAGAAAATGTGATTCCAGTATTGCTGCGGGAATTGTGCTCTTCCAATCTGACATCACGACAACATCTTGAGACACAGCAGGCACTCTTCAAACAGTTTGCTGAAATTCTGGATTTTGTGTTAAAATTTGATGATCTCAAGGTGAGTTTAGAAAATTGTTCACGTATAGAATTTTCTTTTCTGATCATAAAATCTTTTATCATAAGTCTTTTCTATATAACTATAGTATGCATAAAATATATTGAGATTGTCTTTGAAATTGTCATTACCTGTAATTCCGTCTATATAAGAATTGGTGGATGCTTTATCCAATATTATTCTCTACTACTCTAAACATTATTTTGTGGATAACCATGTTTGAGTAGATGCCTTGTTTTTATTTATTTATAAAACAAACTGTGAATTGTATCTACAGGTTGGCACATTTTAGAGACTTAAAGAAAATGTGCTCTCTGGCAGGGTATGACTCTGTATCCTTCTTTTGTAGAAGAACCCACCATCTGATTTGCTCAAGCACATCCCAGCAAGATCCAATTATTCTTTTGAAGAATGCACATCCTCTTGTTCAGATTACATATCTAGTCATTTTTTAATTTTACTTTTTTTTATCTTAAATGTAAACAAAGTAAATTCTAAGGAACCAGTGGATTCTTTATTTAATATGATTTCCTACTACATTAATGTGCTTTCTAATAAATTAATATCGAATAATTAGCAAAAAACCTTAAAAATCTATAATCAGTAATGAATTTATTTCAATGAATATATGCATATACATCTCATCACACCAACTACATTTTATGAAATGGAATCAAGATATTCCAGACAGATATATACAAAGATAAAAAAAATAGAATAAAAAAAATACAAAATAAATTAGAAAAGTTTTTTTGGGGGGAGGGGGGTGCTTATATTATGAAGAGAGAGAGAACAGAAAAAAGAGTTAATATAAAGGTTAAGGGAAGGTAAAGAGATAGGAAGGTTAAATTTAAAACAGTTACCATAAAGTGTCAAAGTTCATAGAAGAGGTTAAAATGGTGTTTATTTAAACAGCATCATCATCGTCATAATCCTAATGATAATAATAAAAAATACATAATATACTTATAAAAAAATATTAATAATATTTTATATTATAATATTTTACATTGCTACATTAATAATATTTTATATTATAATATTTTACATCACTACACCGAAACTTTCATGTTTCGGAACTATAATGTTCCTTCCTTGAGCAATGATAGATTAAGATTTTCATCATAAGTCTTCTGTTCTTTCTTTTCATATATATATATATATATATATATATATATATATATATATACACACACACACACACAGGTTTGGATATATAGATTCTAATGAGTCATGTTGAAGCCCTTCTAATGGTAATAGACTTTTCTTGATTTCAATAGAAAACTTCATCTAATTCTTTGAATTTATAAATTAAAAAAATATATATATAAAAACTTAAACCATGTTTTATATTCATTAAATATTTAAGTATTTTTTCACTTTAACCAACTTATTAATGTCCACCATAAAATACAGTATTCTAAAAAATTAAGTCTGGTATTGGCCATGGATTAATTTTTTTAGTGTTTTACATCCAAAGAATTATTGGATTTATTTTTACTTCAACATTTTTTTTACTTCAAATCCATTAATACTTTAGAAATTTTCTTTCGATTTTGTGATATGAAATTGAGCAAATATGGATTTGAAAAAAATCTAATGTTCATTCCTTAAAATGGTAAATAGAATCTTGCTGGACAGTGGCACACTTCGTGGCCAAGAAGTATAAAGCACACAGTGGTTTCTCCTACAAAGGGAGATTTTGGTTCAAACCCTGCTAGAGAGCATGTCTACCAATTTGAAAACTTAAAACATTTAAGTTTTCAAGTTGCTAGACGTAATACACTGCTTAATATTAAATAGTGTTTTTTTTTTTGTTTTTTTTTTCTGTTGTAAATTCTCAAGAACATAAATCCAATTCTAATCAACACTTTTTTAAACAAGCATTGCTGGGGAAAAAAATTAGCAGTGTCATGGATATAACCTGCTTTTTGTCACTGTCTTATTGCAGGCATATTTATCTATGTTCCCCTCCTTTTTTTGTTGTTATGTTGTTGTTGTTGTTGTTATGGATGTTGTTGTTATGTTGTAATATATAATAATATTGCTGTTATAATATATTATTATAATATTGCTGTTATAATATATTATTATAATATTGCTGTTATATTATTATAATATTGCTGTTATATTATTATTCATAAATTTTAGATTTTAGTTAAAGAATTTTTTATTTTTTATTTTTCTTAAAAGAACTGTCTGATGTAAATAGTTAACTGTTAGTTTGGGTTAAAATCAGTGAATTGGGTTAAATTTGAAAACCCAGTGTTAAGTAAATTTTGAATTGATTTTCTTATCATTAGTCCAGGTTTGTCCAGCTTATTTTAAAAAATTATTGTACAAGTACCATTATTTTTTTTCACTTGTTCTTTGAGATTCAAAATATCTTAAGTGATTTCTTTGTGCAGTAGTGCAAAATAATCAATAGTTTTGTGCTCATCATTATTTATTTTATGCTTCTCTAAATCTAGAGATCAGGTGTATTCTCATAAACCAGGAGTTTTAAGTTTAAATTTCTTTATAGTTTATATTACTAGGGTTACTAAATTGGACTACATCTGCAAAGTCAGCATTACTAAGCTTTGAATTGACTTTGTTCTCGTCATTATCCAAGGTTAGTCCAACTTATCTGAAAAAGCAACCCACCAAAAGTGGCAAGTTGTAAAATTAAGAATTTAGTAGCACTGGGCTTTTATGTCATCAGTAGTTTTTTTTTTTTTTTTTTTTTTTTCCAAATGTATGGAAAATATTTAATGTTTCTAATGATCAAAGAAATTTACTAATGTTATTAGTAATGTTGTATACAGGTTGAGAATCCTTTATTTTAAATTCTTGGAACCAGAATTGCTTCAGGTTTTCAGATTCTGGCGGGGGGGGGGGATTTTGGAATACAGGCTATTTAATTTGTAGATAGCATCTAGAAAATGTGTCAGCTTGGGAATGGAACCCAAGCATAAACATGATATCCCTTTACATTTCATAACACTGTTTATACACATGCCCTGGAGGCAGTTTTATATAGTTAGCACGTACCCTGGAGGCAGTTTTATATGGTTAGCACGTACCCTGGAGGCAGTTTTATATGGTTAGCACGTACCCTGGAGGCAGTTTTATATGGTTAGCACGTACCCTGGAGGCAGTTTTATATGGTTAGCACGTACCCTGGAGGCAGTTTTATATAGTTAGCACGTACCCTGGAGGCAGTTTTATATAGTTAACACGTACCCTGGAGGTTATTTTAGATAAAATTAATAAATTTTGTGTACATGCAGGTAATGATGCTAGTCATGTAATGCTCACACAAATATTTAAGTGGTGATATTAAGATTTCATGCAAAAATAATGTTTCTGTGTACAAAAAACATGATCACTATTTACAAGAAATATATAAATGCAACACCAACCACTACTTCTACATCAGGTGTGAGAACCTGGAAAGTGAGAGTACATCCTCAATGACTTCACTGTGAGAAGGAAAATTTGGTAAGCTATTAGTCTCTACCAATGATGTTGTGTTTTGATTAAAATGTTACAATACATACAGGTACAGTATTTGTATAAAAACAAAATATGGATTCTGATTACCGTAAATGTAATGATAACTGAAAAAGGCAGCATTTTATTTGTAGCACTGCAATGCAATAATCATGTTATGGGTAGCCATGTTTCTTTCTGAGGTTTTTCCATTTGTGGCAAGTCATGTCAGCACCTGAAAACTTTCAGATTTTAGAATTTCAGATAAAGGATACTCAACTTGTATAACCTTTTGCAATAACAGTAGCTAATGTGTGTATAGTGTCTGGCTATCAGTAATTTAAATTTTTATTACTAATTTGATTTTTCCTTTTTTTTTTTTTTTTTTTTTTTTTTCTTTTTTCAGATGACCACCCCAGCAATCCAAAATGACTTTAGTTATTACAGACGAACTGTTAGTCGAAAAAGAATGGCTAATGAAGTAAGAAAGATTAAAATATCTTTTTTTTTTTTTTTTTTTGTCCTATTTAAAATTGTTAGCATACATAGCAACAGTGGAAACTTCTATGGCACATAATTAGAAAAGAGGGCTGGAAAAATTTGACACTGACAGGACATATTGAAGGCAAGAGGGACAGATTAAAACAGTGCATAACCCAATGAGATTGTGTAAATGGTTGGCAGAACAGGGATTATTTGATGTAGCAAAAAGACTAACTATACCAAGAACTACAAAAGACAAGATGTAGAGAGCCTTATCACCCTGGTCCTGAAGAGACATGGCACGTAGTTGTAGTATTATATACATTTAATCTATACAGTAAGGTGAGTCCAAGAGAGCTAGAAGACCTACCAGGATTTATTATTGGTGGATGAAATCTTAACAACATAAGGTGAAAATCATGTTGACACAGGAAAATTTTTCATACATAATGCAATGTAATATCACTCTGCCTATATGGCAGTAATTGCTGCTGAAAATAAATGGTTTTAAGGAAAATGGAAATAAAATACTTTTTTTTTTACTTTTTTTTTTTTTTCTTAAGTCATTTCACCTCAAGCAAGGTTGACTCGGAAGCAATAAGCTGGAAGAGTTCCACAAGTAAAAAGTGTGATAGAAAAAACTGTTAGCATAGAACTTAGTTACATCTAGCCATTTTAACTATAAAATGGTGAGACCTTGCTGCCAATCTGGTACTGTGCTAAATTCATAAAGTCTAGCTACCATAGAGGAAAGTTCTTTAGACCAATCACTATGAAAATATTTATAGAAAAGGAAGCTGCATTATGGCAGTGAGAAAGTGACTGAAACAAAGATGCCAGGTCTGAACCAATAACAGATTCTTCTTTAAATTTTATCAAGAATCTCTAAATACATAGCAGAAGCACCAGATCAGATGTGGCAGCAATATTCAAAGCATGGACAAAATGGTAAACTTATAAATATGTATAATAGATTCAGGTGAGAAAAATTGTCTAGAATGACACAGGGAATCAACTCCTAATGGTGAACTTAGCAAATAATTCAATAAGCTTATACTTAGAATCAAAACTAGTTAAAATTTCTGAAACAAATGGTGATAAGAGGGTTTGCAGAATTTAAAACTTACATGACTCAGTTGAAGGCAAGAGGGACAGAGAGAAACATCAAGTAACCAACCTAATGACTTGTGTAAAAAAATATCAAATAAAGTATATCTGTAAGAGGGTAATATGAATAAAGACAAAAGGAAAACTTAACTGATGCATTTTGTCCTCTGACGGATTTCCTAATTTGCCTTGATAAAGTCCATCAGAGGACAAAATGTATTGGCTAAGACAAGTTTTCCTTTTGTCTAGTGACTTGTGTAAATGGATGTCAGAAAAGGGAGTGGGAGAAATATTAAGGCAACAAACATTACTTAGAGCTACAAAGAGGATACAAAGTTGTGGAGAGATATGTCTGAACAAAATTATGTTCATTTAATATTCGATTTAGTCATTGTGTTCACTGAGTTGTTATAAAAATCAAAGGGAATTAAGTTGTTCATTTCATTGACTCTGATCTGGTATAGATAAATTTTTATTTTAGCTATGACAAAAACTTAAAATATCCTCCTTGATGTGCATCTTAATTGATCATAGGAAAACTTTTTAGTGTACAGTTTATACTATTTTAAAGTACCGGATGAAAGCAGATTGAACTTTAATCCTTCTCATTTCAATATTTGTTTGTTACTGCCAAGTTAACTCTTAAATATGAAGGAAGAAAAAAGCTAACAAAGGCTTGGAAGTTACTTTCAATGAAAAATGAGCCAAGTGACCTTGCTTTTTGAGTGTATATGTTAAATGAATATGCATCAATAACTGACTATTCTCTAAATCTTCTAGATTAACATTAACTGTTTCATATTGTAAAATAAAATTCTGTTAAGAAAATTTAATCCTTTAAAGATTAACAACTGCTAACACATTCTAGGGAATGATTACAGTGAAGTGTCAAGATTCAATTTTTCTTTTCTTGATCAACAACATAATGTTTCTCTCTTATTATTAAATATAAAAAAAATGTATCATTGATTAAAAATTTCTACTTAAGGTGAATTGAACATGAAAATGCAATAAGAATGTGTGAATAGTGTAACACATCTGTAGAAAGTGGATCTGGAGAGCAGAGTTCAGATTCAGGGTAGTTTGTTACATTCGCTGCCACACAAATGCATTTGGGAGGAAAAACATGAACCTCTTTACCCTACTACTCTACAAGTTAATTAGCATGATAGATTGTGCTCTCTGGAGTGGCAACAAGTCTAAGATAAGAAAAATCTTGAATTACAAATTATGGAGATAGCAGTAGGAAACCATTCCACTATCTTTCTCAAGAAGTAATGGCAATTCGCATGTAATAAACTAGGTACCCCCCCACAAAAAAAGCAATACATAAGGTTTAAAATGCATTTTAACAATGAAAAACCTGTTATTTTAGTTTTAATTCCAAACTAATAGATTAAATTTAATTTTTCCAATAGACAAAATATGTTACTGTATTTCTAACCAAATTTAAACTGATTAGAATGATTTTTTTTTTTTTTTTTTTTTTGCTAAAATCCTCCATATTGACAAATCTGTTAACATGACATAGATCTCTTTATTAAAAATATCTTTAAAAATATACTTTTCTGAAAGTTTATATGAGGAAGATTACCTGATCTAAAGTTTAATTAATCTTAACTAAAACAAATATTACTTACTTTCAGTTTAGAATATTGTAGAAAATCATTTTTTTAACATTGAAGTGGGATTTTTTATAAGGTGTTGATAGGTTTATTGATAACTTGGAATTACTATATAAGATGCAGGTAAAATGATTGGTGCCCTGTACCACTCCAGTAAGTACCTGACACCTCATGCTATCCTCTGCCTCTTTTATAAGAGCCAGGTCAGGCCTAAAATGGAATACTGTTGTCATATTTGGCCAGGAGCTGCCCAGTCCTCACTTTCTAGTCTTGATAGTTCAAGAGTGTCTCCAAGTCCTTGTTGAAGAATTATTTTCCACCCTTCAGTCAGTCTCTCTCTTTCTCTCTCCCTTTCTCTTCCCCCTCTTTCTCTCTCCCTTTCTCTTCCCCCTCTTTCTCTCTCCCTTTCTCTTCCCCTCTTTCTCTCTCCCTTTCTCTTCCCCTCTTTCTCTCTCCCTTTCTCTTCCCCCCTCTCTCCCTTTCTCTTCCCCCCTCTCTCCCTTTCTCTTCCCCCCTCTCTCCCTTTCTCTTCCCCCTCTCTCCCTTTCTCTTCCCCCCTCTCTCCCCCCCTCTCTCCCTTTCTCTCCCCCCTCTCTCCCTTTCTCTTCCCCCCTCTCTCCTTTCTCTTCCCCCTCTCTCTCCTTTCTCTTCCCCCCTCTCTCCCTTTCTCTTCCCCCTTCTCTCTTCCCCCCTCTTTCTCTTCCCCTTTCTCTTCCCCCCTCTCTCCTTTCTCTTCCCCCTCTCTCCCTTTCTCTTCCCCCCTCTTTCTCTTCCCCCCCTCTTTCTCTCCCCCCCTCTCTCCTCTCTCCCCCCCTTTCTCTCTCCCCCTCTCTTCTTCTTCTCTCCCAGGATTTGATGAGTCTTTCATTGCTCTATTGCTACAATTATAGTGAATGCTTGGATGAACTACATTCTTTGGTTCTGCCAGGTCTAACATTTATGACTAGGACCCACGATACAATTTACGTAATAGCAAACCACCCACATTCTCTCCGTATTCCACTGAGAAGAAGTAAGTTCAACTCAAACATCATCTTCCTGCAAATCACTTCCCTGTGAAACACTCCCAAGAGGAGGTTTCCCCAATTACTACAATCTTAACTGGTTCAAGTCTACAGATAACTTATCTTCCTCTCCCATGCATATAAACTACCTCTTAATATAACCCACTTTCTCTCAAGTGACCCCTGAGCATTGTACATGGTGAATCTTACTGTTAAAAAAAACGTTTGGCATTTTTAAGTAAAAGGTACTAAAAATTACTTGACAAATACGTGAATGCCTTTAAATAATTTTTTTTAACTACCTAGTATTTTTTTAAAATTCAAAAAAAAATATTCTAAGCAATCTAATATTGAATTTTAGGCACTTGACTTTTATAGACTTACTTACAAAGATGCTTGTGGAGGAAATGTTAGAAAATTACCAATAAGTTTTAAATTTACTACAATTACTGCTTATGTATGGATGTGGCACCTTTATACTTGCAAAAAAAAAACATTCAAAATTCTTTTTAAAATACTGGGGTTGGTCAATTGTAGTAAGCATTTCCATTTATGATTAGTAAATATAGTTTTTACTTAAAAATATATATATATATATATATGAATTGGCTCTTCTGACAAGGCTCAGGTTATGTGTGCTCTGGCTAGGATAAGTATCACTCCTCAGCACCTTTGCCTCAGTTTAATGCAGTGTCTGGGAAAGGTGTTGCTATAAAAGGAGCTGCTGAAAATTCCTTGGATTGATTCACTTTCAAAAATCTGACCAAACATCAGAATTTTTCACCTGTGAACTTTTCATCACCTCTGTGTGTGTGTGTAATATATATATATATATATATATATATATATATATATATATATACTAGCAGTAGAGCCCGGTGTTGCCCGGGGATATAACAGTAAGAGATAGATGTAGTATCCACCATCATAAAGACCGAAAAATAAAATTGACAAAGATTATTGTTTAAGGTTGACGGACACGCATGTCTTAATTAGTTTTTTTTTTTTTTTTTTTTTTTTTTGAAACATTGTTTTTCAATCGTTATGAGTCTCTACCGATTGAATAGAATTTTATTATAAACAATTGTCTTGTAAATGGAATTTTTAAAGCATTCTGAATGTAAAAATAAAAAAAAAAAGTGTGCAAGACAATAAGAAACACTACATGCCAAAAAAAAAAAGTGAAGTTTTGTTGAAATCTGTTGAAAAATGTATGTAGCCTTTCTGTAATCTTTTAGTTTTTACAATTTATGATTTTTACTTATTGAATACAGTAAAAAATTGCATATTTTGCTTGTGGTGATTCATAATTAGAATTCTGATTTGAATATAGTTTCCACTCGTTTCTAATACAAAAAATATCAACTTTATTTGGGTTTATTAATTATGATCTAACAAATCTTATTCATTTAGTAGCCTTTCTGTAATAATAATCTTTTTTACAATTTATGATTTTTACTTATTGAATACAGTAAAAAATTGGAAACCATGTGTATTTAAAGTAGTTTCGGTTATTATTTTTAGTTAGGACTTGTGTATGTTTAGATTTCATTATCTTTCCCTAAAGATGAAGAATTTATCCGATGTTTGTATTCGTACAATCAGTAGAGATCGTTAGATTATTGTTTAAGGTTGACGGACACGCATGTCTTAATTAGTTTTTTTTTTTTTACGAATTGGTCAAACTCAAACAATGTTTTCAATCGTTATGAGTCTCCCGATTGAATAGAATTTTATTATAAATAATTGTCTTGTAAATGGAAATTTTAAAGCATTCTGAATATTAAAAATAAAAAAAAAAGTGTGCAAGAGAATAAGAAACACTACCTGCCAAAAAAAAAAGGTGAAGTTTTGTTTTATCGGCTGAAAAATATAGGAAATCCGCTCCCATATTTAAAGTAACCCACACACACAAACAACCCGATGTGAGTTGTCCCCCTTCCATTTTCACAATGTCTCTTAATTGTGTTTTCAAATTGATTTTGTGCAAAAACAATTATATTTTCCCCATTTTTGGCGCTGTTTAGAACCACCACAAGGTAATTTATGTAGTCCTGTGAAGTTTTGTTGAAATCGGTTTGAAAAATGTAGGAAATCCGATCCAATATATAAACGTTACAGACACACACACACAATCTGCATTTTATAATAAGTAAGATATATATATATATATATATATATATATATATATATATATATATATATATATATGTGTTCCTCAACTGATTTACTTATAAGAATGTCACCAAACGTTAGAATTTATTATGAAATTCTTAATAAGGGCTGAGAACTTTTCAACACACACATGCACACACACACACACACACAGGTACTAAAAAGTTTTGGCCTGTCCTATTTCTTGAAATAAGTAATGACCAAATATGAGAATACTAATTTTGGGAAGTAGTTTGGACCAAGAACACCCCCCCCCACACACACACACCCTGAAAAGGAGTCAAAATTGTGACATTTCCTTCTGGTGGCTTTTATCTCTCACAACACAAACTAAACTGTAAAATTGTCTGATTCTAATTTTACCAAATTAGTCCCAAATCTTTGATAGAAGTTTAGTACTATATTTTTTCCTCTATTGTACAAATCTGAAATTGGATAGGAATCTTAAACTTTACTCTTTTGATCGTTTTTCATTTTTCAGGACAGCAAAGGAGGTGAAACGGAAGTGTCGAATGAAATGGCGAATCGGATGTCTTTATTTTATGCACATGCCACACCCATGCTGAAAACTTTAAGTGACACAACTACAAAATTTGTAACACAGGTCAGTCACAATTTTTTTTTTTTTTTTTTTTTTTGCCGTGTTTGTTTGGTTCTCTTCCACCTTTTTGTTTTGTGAACAGATTTCTTAACCATATTTTAATACTGACAAGTTGTATTTATTACTTCAGGGAACATCTCCCTGAAAACTTATACAGAAGATTGTTTGTTTTTTGGGGTTTTTTTTGTTTTTAATGACTCTCATTGCTTTTTGAAATTGGATGTCTTATCTGATATGAAATATGCAGTTGGAAGAGAATTTTTTTTAACATAATTTTAAACATTTTTTGTAATTCTCTTAAAATAAAAATTATCCTTGTATTAAATGTCTTGTTTTGGTTAGTGGGTCAAAAATATTAATTTCAAATTGCAGTGCTTTACTTTAATGACATTGAAAAATTTAGAGAATGATCCAGTTTTATGAAATTCATTCTCAAAGTATTCTAAACCTTGTAATATTGATCCTGATTTTAGTCTCTATCAAACTGTCCAATAGCTGACATCAAGTTATAACAAATATCATTTTATATCAGATATGTAGATAGTTACTTTTTTTCCTTTATATTGTAAAGATTTTTTTTAACAAATATTAATGTTTTTAAACATACGCAAATACAATTTTAAAGTTTTGCAGCAGCTTTGATGAAAGCTTTTTATTTAAGCCACTGTTACATTTTTCTTCTGTAAATGAGTCTTTTTTATATCGTATTAAAAAGATGTAATTTTCAATATTAAGACTGCACTAAAAAAAAAAAAAATTTGAAATTTACCTTATTCAATGTAGGAAATTTGATATTATTATAAATTATATAAAAAAAAATCTCTGAAATTTCTAATTTTGAAATATCTGCTTTCTACTTCATTGGTTTATAGCCATATCATGTTGGATCACCAGTTCTTGTACAATCACTGAATTTAAGCAATGTTGAGCCTGGTCAATACCTAGATGAGTGACTGCTTCAGAATACCTGGTTCTGTAAGCTTGGATGTGCAGGTGGTGTAATGGATAATAGCTCAGAATTTGGAGAGCCAAGTTCCAATTTCAGTCATGCTCATTATATTCAGTTAAGTGCAAAATACCCTTGAGAAAGATATGAATCCACCTCTTCTCCTCATCAGCTATTATTTGGTAGGACTTATATCAGTAAATTATTATCTCCCCAAAAATTGTTACAATCTAAAAAATATTTTCTGGCTTTAAATAACCTGTAAAAGGTTGATAAGCTATAAAAAACAAAACAATCAGTCGGTCATTTTAAAGTATTGCAACTGCTAAAAACTTAAAACACATATTGAATATGCATTAAATGGCCAGGTTTAATCTTCAGCAAGGTTGGCAGCTATAAATTCAGGACTGCCCATGTGGTAATATAGACCTCTACAATAAAATAGAAGTGAGTTCAAACCTTGCCATAAACTTTGGATCTGCACTATTTTCCACTAGCCATGTAATCATGCAGTGAAAAGTAAGTGAAATTATGCTTGTCAACAATGAATCATAGTTGCTGTCTTAAACGCAGGAAAAGTTTGTATTCTGGTCATTTCAAATACTCTTGTAGATTTTAGCATTAATTTTTGAGTAGTCTGTCTTTTCATCTTAGTCTTATTTTTTTCTTTAATCATTTAATTAGAAGGACTTGTATCAGTAAATTAATATTATCTCTCAAAAACTTCTTACAGTCTAAAAATATTTTCTGGCTTCATATAACCTGCAAAAGGTTGATAAGCTGTATAAAACAAATCAATCTACTTCATTATGTAAATATAAATGTATTAAATATTAGTGAGTATGTTGTGGGCAAGAATACAGACCTCAATCCATTTCTTTTTATTCTTGTATGATTCATTTTTTTATCTGTCTACTCAAAAAGAAAAGCTTTTGGTTCTATTAACCAGTCCACTATTCATTTTAATGAGTATAAAAATTGCTAAAATAAAAATTTATTTAAATTTGCTACATAAAAAGGAAAGATATGGAATATAAATTTGTTTACCAACAGTATATTTTTTTTTGGTTTTTCTTTTTAATCATTATTCTGCTGATAAATTAATATTGAAGTTTTTTCTTTTTTTTTTT